CCGGAAGGATCGCGGCCACCGAGTCAGGGGGGGCGGGGCTCAGGTGGGCCGGGGTCCGGTGCCCCCCCCACCCCGCCCCCCACCTCCCGGTCTTGGGTTGAAACTCCCTAGTTTTGGAGGTGCTGCTGAGTGGTTCCTGGGGCCAGAGGCATTCGGCTTTACTCGCGCGGTGTCTGCGCCGAGGGCACGAGCGTAGTTGGACTCCTGGCGCCCCATCCGCTGGCCCACACCTGGACGCGCTGGTCCTCCGTGGTGTGGGTCTGCGGCTCCGCCGTGAGGCAGGGGGCGCTGTGGGGTAGACCTGCGGAGGGGCGGCCGGAGCTTAGTCGGCACCCAGGTGTGTGGCGGCCGCGTGGGGTTCCGGCTGCTGTACCCTTAAAGCGCCAGAAGCATGCCCCTAACTGCGATGGGCCACGCGCGGGTAGAGGATTTGCAGGTCAGCGCGAGATTGGTAGGATTTGCAGGTCAGCGCGAGAGTGGTGGAATGCCCGGAACCTGAAACCCTGTTGCTGCTGCGTCCTCCCCGGGACGGAGCAGAACGCAGGCCGGGGCGCTAAACACCTGTGAAAGGGGAGGGCCCCGCGCTCCCGGGGCCCCAGCCCTAGAACACAAATTGGAAATTAGGAGAGAAAGTGATTATTTTTCCAGGAAACGCATGGCCAGATTTTCACGAAGTCTAGATGGCCATTATCCATGCTTGTTTATCAGAAACTGGCATCTCAAGCCTGGCACATTGAAACCTTTAAAAAAAAAAGTACCACCAGGGAATGATGTAATCTGAAGGCAACCTGCTGATGAAAGGAGACCTCTGATTTAAAAATGTTGAATAGGCTTATTGAGAATGGAAGGGCGAATGTATTGACTCGCTTCTCCTGGGCTTAGTGTCCCCTGCATGCTAACCCTCCAGGTTGATTAGAAAGCTTCCTGATCCGAAAGGAAGCGTGCAGGCAGTTGGCACTCTTTTCACTGGTTCTCACCAAAGCGGGGTCACTTGACAGTGCTCGGAAATCCTGGCGTCCATTGAATCCTTGTGCCTCCCTTGTTCTTTTCAGTTTAACCAGTCAGTGAGCAACGAGCTGAATATTGGGGTAGGGACTTCCTTCTGTCTCTGTACTGATGGGCAGCTTCACGTCAGGCAAATTCTGCATCCCGAGGCTTCCAAGAAGGTAAGACTGTTTTCTTGAAGGTAAATTGTACCTTTGGGGTAACTGGAGGCTTTTTTTTGTTTTTCTTCTCTTTTTCATGGTTTCTTCGAGTTTGTGTTTTAAAAAATAGACCACACTGTTCATAGAGATTTTCAGAATTGCAGTGATCTTAGACTCTTTGGTGATTAGTAAAAGTTTATTTTTCCTTGTTACGTTATTCAGACATAACATTCACACTTTCAAAGTTGGAGGATCTGACTTTGAATATTTGTAATAACTATAAACGGGAGGAGGGAAGTGTGCTCTAATACATTATAATTCCATTTTTGTTTAAAATTATTTATTCTAGAAGGAAGGAGGGAAACAAATTTAACAAAACGTTTTTTGTTGTAATTCTAGTAATTTTATTGAAAAGCTTTGTACAACTTGGAGACTACAGTGTGCTATAATTAATGTGGCTAGTAAAACATTAAATATAGTACTCTGTTCTTTGACTTTAAATAAATGATAGAAACTGCTCAAATCTTGTTTCAACATAATGTGAGCCCCATCTTTTACCTTTGTTAGTTTTTTGATATGGACAAAATTGAGAAAGAAGAATAAAATATTCCTTGCGAAATTCCTTCCTCCCCAGGAATACTTGAGGGACTTGGGGAAAATAGAGCCTAGACAGCAAATCCAGTGTAGCCAGTCCTTAATGTAGTTGCTCTTATCAATTTAAAATAGTTTGAGCTGTAACTTTTTATTGTGGTAGGCAGGTACTGAGCTTGAAATTATGGAAGTTAGCTGGTTTTTAGATGTCGCCCTATCAGATGAGTCTGGCTGGTAAATAGCAGGTGGCATATGTGAGTTGTCTGGATTTTCTTTTCAAGTTGGGAAAGGGGGAAAATGAGGTAAATGATGTTTTCAAAAGCAGCTCAGGTTTCTATGTCTTGAATCACTCTGGTAGCAAACTGTAAAAGTATTTGAAAAAGGTAAGGACTTTTTTAAAATGATAGGCGACTATATACCATTAATGTTGTTTTTTTTTAAGTGTACTTATTATATAATACATACTTTTTATTCTCCTCATTCAAATGGGGAGGGATAATTTTTTCCCCCCATTTTGTTAGGGGCTCATACAACTCTTATCACAATCCATACATACATCAATTGTGTAAAGCGCATTTGTACATTCATTGCCCTCATCGTTTTCAAAACATTTCCTCTCCACTTAAGCCCCCGGCATTAGGTCCTCATTTTTCCCCTCCTTCCCCGCTCCCCCCTCCCTTATGAGCCCTTGATAGTTTATAGATTTTTATTTTGTCATATCTTGCCCTGTCCGATGTCTCCCTTCACCCACTTTTCTGTTGTTCGTCCCCCAGGGAGGAGGTCACATATAGTTCCTTGTAATCGGTTCCCTCTTTCCAACCCACTCGGGGAGGGATAATTCTTCCTATCCTTATTAGGTTAGAGGGAAGTGGTGGTTGTTATTTTTGATGTACAACATTTTATACAGGAAAACACCTGTAGGGAAAAGTTGGCATTTTCCTGGGCCATTTCTATTGCAATTTTTGACTAAGCACAAGAAACTGAAATACGTTCATTATGATACTAAATTAATTAATTTAGTGATCATTCACTAAAGTGGGGAATTGATATAGGGAAATAATCCTGCTACTGAAACCATATATGACAAGATTTTTTAAAAATTGTGTGTGTGTGGGGGGGATTGCATTATCTTTTAAGCCCATTTTCCATGAACTTTTTGACATCCCTGCATGTATTAATTTTTGTATTTTAATAACAATTAGGATTTGTAGAAATCCTAATTCGTAGAAAAGGGTAACTTTTATAAGGAAGATGATTATTACACAGACCTGTTTTAATATCAAGAAAGCATCCTTTATTAAGTACTAAGGGAAAAAAACAAGGAAGGGTATTCTCCAGGTTCCAAATGAGATACTTTTCTAAATTGTCTTTAAGTCAAATTTGTGGGTAAATGAACACACATGGTTCCTATTTAGCCTTCCTTTGCTGCAAGAAAAGCCTTTCAATTACTAAAAACAGCACATGCAGCAAGTGAAAGTGATTGTGATGGAAAAATGTGTTGTACTTGCAAAATAAGGGCAAGTTGATGGAACCTTTAAAAAAGTTTTATTAGCACGTTATCCACATGTCATACAATTCAATAATTCCATCATATGAAGAAGAGTTGTACAATTATCATCACAGTCAATTCTAGAGCATTTTCTTTTTCCTTGTAGTCATTCTTATTCATGTATTTTTTTACTTAAAAAATGCATTCTTATGTACTTTTTAAAATCATTTTGTTGGGGGGTCTTACAGCTCTTATAACAATCCATACATCAATTGTATCAAGGCTATTTGTACATAAATTTATGTCACTTAAAGGGCAAGCAAATATGAATTGTCATTAAGTCTAAGATGAATACACATTTGCGTTTTTGTATCATTAAAACAATTTTTAAAATTCGTACACTTTTTTGTTTTTGTTATGATTTGGGTCAAAGTTTACAGAGCGTCATGGTTTTCCATTCAATAATTCATACACACTTTGATTCTGATTACAGCCCCTCAGTGTAACAGCAATCATTCCACTTCCTCCCTGGGTTTGCCGTTTGCATCTCTCCTCCTTTCCTATCCTTCCCTGCCTCCTTATTTAGCTTTTTCCCAGGACAGATGTTCCCCTTTTGGTCTTTTGTGGTTAATGGTTCTCTAGTGAGCTGTTGCTAGGCAGTCTTCAGGGCCTTCTTGTGGAAATGGGGGGCCATGATTGCAGTCGTGATTCTAATTTCAAATTCCACCAGGGAAGGTCGTGTCTGATAGAATTCAATAGAGGCAATGTAAATCGAAGGATATATTAGAAGGCTATATGAGTATTAGGGGTCATGTGTACAAATGGGTAAAAATCCCACCAAGTGAACACACAGAACTATTTTTTGAAATTCTAAGAAAAACCAAAATTTGGTTTTTAAAACATTTATCTTTAAGAGTTATTCACTGAGTTTTTTTTAATTTCATCAGAAAAATAATGAAATAGTAATATAATATTTATAACTAATGCGGACAATTGAGCTTTTTTATTTAATAGCCTCAAAATGGTGCTGGTAACTCAGGGTAATAGATAACTTTTCTACTTTCATTTGGGATTTATAATAAAGTTCCTTAATTCTAATTTGAGTGCTGGGGTGCCACCAAGAATAATGGTGACTAAAACTGATGTGGAATTATAGTAGAGAAATAATCATTTCCAGTTAATCAAGAATTTATTTGTAATCTAATGATTCCTTAATTATCCATGATATATTGTCATGTACCCAATAGTTAAAACTAAATTTTACTAGTAAATCTGAGAACTGAGAGGGTGGATAATGCTGCCTGAAAAGACAAATGATCTAACATGACTGGTAGTGTTATAATCTAGAATATATAAAATGTAGCTGTATTACAGCTTCAGAAATATGTAATGGAGCCACAAACTTTGAAAGTTGTAAAATTGTCATCTTATTTTAAGGAGCCACAAAATTACCTTAAAATAAGATGACATATTTTCCTTCCTTTTTTTTCCCCTCCATGAGACTGGTTGGTATACAGGTGCTCTAATATTGTAATGGACAGACCAAGCTATAAAAAATAAACCTGTGTTTTTACATTTTAAGTCTTAGGTTCCTAATTATTAGAGAAGCATTGAACCAAATTTGCTTGATTGACGAACTCTTCCTTGTTCTTCCACAGAATGTATTATTGCCTGAATGCTTCTATTCCTTTTTTGATCTTCGAAAAGAATTCAAGAAGTGTTGCCCCGGTTCACCTGAGATTGACAAACTGGATGTTAGAGCGATGGCAGAGTGTATCCTTTTAAAGATAGCTCAAGGATCCTTTGAAAAGATCGCTCCGGGAAGATAAATGGTACTTTAAGAGACTTGAACACATTTTGTTATCCTGTCCATGTGTCCAGAAATTGTCTAATGTGTTAGAAGGAATGACTAGTACAACTAAAGGCCCATTTCAAAATAGTTGTAATTTAGTGAGTTTTGAACAATGGTTGTTACGTTGAATGGATTTGGAGGTGAATGTGAAGAGAACACAGGGAAAATAGAATTTCCTTAGAAAATTAAGTTGTTTTGTGGAAGTGAATTAGAGAAGAATGTGAACGCTTTCTCTCTTCTGTAGAACAAGGCCATTTGTTCTTCAGCACTTTCGGGTTCTGACTTCTTTGGAATGGATAAGAATTTGATTTCCAAAAGTAGATGTGGAAGAACGGTCCTTACTAACTTTTGTTCATTGGCTCTCCCGTAACCTCCCTCAAGCATGTGATTGTAGTTGACCATCTTTGGAGATGTTGAAATGCGCCGGGACTTCCCCCACATCCTGTCACTACTAACACAGTATATTTGGTGGCTTAACTATTGTGAAAGTAACTTTTATAATCACAGATTTTGTGATCTTGAATGATATATTGTTTCTCTTCCAGAAAGTCTTTGAAGTGCTAAGTGTTAATGTATTGGATGAGTAATGGAAGGGCGTTAGGCAATTCTCTGGACCACCAGAGCCATCATAAAGTAGGGTCTAAATGCTTTCAGGAACTTGGGGGTAGCAGATGTTCATTCTTAAATGTTTCCTATTATTATTATTATTATTATTATTATAAGCCGTTTTCTTGATTCAGTAGTCACGTATCACACACTTCCATGGCTAAACCGCCTTTAAAAAGAGTTGTTATATACATCATCACAATCAGTTCTAGTGCTCCCTCCTCTCTCCGGAAGTTTTCCATTATTTTTTAGCATCTAAAGCCTGATTTTTTTTCTATTAAAATTTTTTTAATAACTGAAAATAAGCAGGTCAAACTCATTTTTGTCTTACTTCCAGAAGCAGTTAACAGGACTGTTGGTTTTGTGATAAAGTGGTATTTAGAAGACGGTGGGATAAACTCCTTTAGAGGGGAGTCTTGCAAGAATTTATTTGACAGCAGAAAAACTCTTCATTGTTTTGATGATTTGCTTAACTATTTGAGGTAGTGGTGTAAAACAGAACAAAGTATTCCAGGGGGAAAGACCTTCAAGAGTATTTGGTGGACACATGGAATTAAAAGATGCAGAATTTTTCCATGAACTGTTTGAAGCCTCCTTGTATCATATACTTTTTAAAAGGCTGCACTCTGACCTTTAGGTTAATGGGTATGATACTATCCAATTATTTTCCTCCTTTAACTGAACCTCTGCAGCTTTGTGTTAGCAGTTGGTTTTCAAGTGTGGAGATGAAAATTGGGAGTATTTGATTATATTAAACATGAACTGTAACTAACGCAAAATTAGAGTTGGTTTTTTAAAGTTTAAAGGATGTACCTGAAATCAGAGGATGTACTGGCCATTTAGTAATGGCATTCATTGAAAAACGTGGGAAACTATGCTAAGTTTTAAAGGAAAACTAATTATAGTCTTTGGCTTCCATTGGGAAGAGTCTTAGAGTTGTAGCTTCGTTAGCAATCACCACATGAAAATAGGTTTTCATCTGAAGTGCTTTGGTTAATGAATTTCTTGCATATTTCTTGCCCATCTAACAGGTAAAAAATTATAACACGGTAAGAACAGTGGTTTTTAATTCACAGGGGTGCTTTGGCTAAGGACTTTTCAACATCTGTTCATGCTAGACCTGAAAACCAACAGGAGCCATTGCAAATTTGAGTACGAACTTGTCCGTACCTATGGGAAGTGTTCCCTCTGCCATCCATGCTGAGCTGTGTCACTCTTTCAAACCACTGGACAGCTGCTTTCTAGTAGTGAAATGACATTGGAATTTGAAACTATAAGGATGATTATTAATAAGTAAAACCATCTTGAAGTGATTTTGCCAAGTAGATGGAGTGTCGTAGGCTCCTGAGCATTACCTGCCCCACCAGATAAAGCAACCGGGGAGGAAGAGTTTCCTGCCAACCCTTGTGGAGGAGTAAGTGACGGAATATCCAGTCTGACTGACTTTGCAGTAAAATGTCTGTATTATTTTTGGCTTTGGCTTTTAAATAAAAGTCATTGTGGGCATATGGAATTATTGGCTTGTTCAGAGCCTTGATGGCTTCAGGCTTCACAGTATTCTAAGAGCCTTTTTTTTATTCCCTAAGTGTCTGAAGTAGTGTTTTGTTAACTTTACATCCAAAGAATTCTTGTCTATCTGGATTTTGTGTTCGTAACAGAAAATCTTTGGATTTTTTTACTAAATGAAAGCAACGGGATCTTTTTCAAAATGAATATGTGGAACTTGAATGCTGAGCAGCATTTCCAAGTGTGTATGGGACATCTAAGGAATGAGGACGTGATTGTGTGATGGAAGAGCCTGTGAAGAAGCCCCTGTAGGAGGCACAGAACCTGGCTTTGCTGGGGCCCTGGTACCCAGCAGCTTTGCTTTCCGTGGCTTTTCCAAGCCTCACCTCTATCTCAGGTATTCCCAAGTGAAAGCTAGATAAGCTTCAGGTGCTACGTGAATGAAAAGTCTGACCACTTGGATCCAAGGAAAGGGCTAAGGAATTTCTTGACTGCTGCTCTGATTCTCATGTTGGCACTGACCTCCCCTTGGTCTTCGTATTGTTCTAAAAGCACTTCTAGGCCACGGGCCTCTCTGTCGCGGTTTTATTGCCTGCTTTTGAATTACCCAGTTCCAACTGGAGATAAGACAGCATTAACACTTTCAGCAGGTGAACCTTGGGTGGTGTTTTGTAAGTTTTTACTTCGTCAGGTAAGGAAGGTGGTGGTGGTAAAATGATGATAGGGATCGTGGCTTTGGTGGGCTTATTGTGATGAAATTATTTTTGATCCTTTGGGAGAAATGAATGCTAGTTGCCTCCCACTGAAAAGACATTTTGAGTATGGAATTATTTGTATGAATGATTTACATCCATTCTTTTAAAAACACATTTAATATCAACCCTGACTTTTCCTCAACACTTTTGGAAAGAATTACCCTCTTTTGGTTTCTTAATCTGCTTTGTATGTGTGTGTGTGGTGGTGTTAGCTTTGTTATTCATGGACTTGATTTATTCTTATTCATGAACATGCTGCTATTGTGCTTATTTCATTTGGCAAAGTTTTTACTTAGGATATTAAAGTGCAGCCTTGGAAAGGAGAGTTGGTGAAGAAAAGAGTGAGGTGCTATCTTCTTAAAAGAATACTGCCCAGGACGGGGGAAGTGTCATCCCCATTTTATAGATGGGGAAATGAAGGGTTAGAGATTTGTCCAGCATTTGAGTCCAAGTCCCTGTCATGGAAAAACTTTGCTTTAATAGGTGTCATTATTTTCTAGAATATACGAAGATTACTTAAGGATGAGGTTGTCTTTCTAAACACTCCTGTTTAAACCTGTATTATCTCATGTTTTCGGAGTACACACTGGCTAAACGATTTAGCTGTGGAAAGGAAGTCAGCTTGGGGGCTGTAAAAGCCCTATCTAGTGTGAGGGTGTGTGCTGCTTTGACGTGATTAACAAGGCCTGGTTCACCAGTGTAACCTTTCTCAGGGGGCTACTCTTGCCTCCCTTCCAAGGGTGAATGGGTACACTGACTTGTGAAGAGTTGGAGCTAGAAGCTTCAGCAAGGAGTGGGATTGCTGGTATCAGCAGCCGTGTGTCCTGGACTGTTCAGCTTCAGTTTCTCCACCTTGCACCAAGTATGACGTGGGAATGGACAATGAAGTCCAGTGTGCAGCCACTTGCTCAACGCGTGGCCTGCCACACAACCTCCAGGACGGTTGCCTGCCTGAGTTCCTTACCAGGCGGTTGGTTGTCCCAAATGAGGAAAAACGGCTGCCAGAGTACTCAGAAAAGGACTTCCTTATTGATTTAAGATCATACTTAAATGCGTATTCACTTAGAATCATTCCAGCCTCGCTCGAGACTGGGTATAGGCCTCCCAGTGTAAGACATATGGGTAAACTTTAAGGTGAATTTAGCTTCTTCATTTATCAAATACAGTGGGACTCATATGCTTGCCATGTATTATATCCTGATGGATTAAACGGGACCTTCGGAGTCCTGAAAACAGACATTGCCTTGCGTGTACAAAGTGGAGACAGGACGGAAATCCCCCTTGGTGCCTTTCTGTGTATGAAAGGGATTTTAAATATCTATTGCCAACTGTGCAGATAAGCTGGGTTTGTAGTTGGGCTTGTTGGCTCGCGGGGCAGGTGGTGAGGGTGGTGGGCAGGGCGTGATCCTGGTGTGTCATCAGCCTGAATGAGCCAAATCAGCAAAATCTCTCGGTTGTGGTCTGTAATGAGTTAAATGACTAGCAATAGAATATGCTCTCCGCCAGCGCTCTGGGAAAATAGCTTGTTATGGTAATGATGTGTGCCCTGCTTTAATGAGGAAATAATACACTTTTAAAATGTGAGCTTTTGGATTCCTGGATCTAGTTTTGGTTTTCTGGAAGGTTCCAGAATTCTAGCCATCATGAGGTTTCCTTTTCCTCACTGACTGATCCCAGTTAAACGTCTTTTTCTAAAGCATAAACGTTTTCATTCTTTTTTCTCATCCCTTTTGATGCATTGCCCTTCCTGCATCTTACTGAACAGCCAGTCTGTTCTGTTAGAAACGCCGCGCGTTGCAGTACTGCCTCCTGAGGTCGCAGTGGCTACGCAGTGGCCTCATTTTTTCTCCTTGGAAAGAAGGAAGTAAAGTTACAACTCTAGTTGTAGAGTCTTTTTCTAGCATTTTATTACTGGTGAAAAGAAACTTTCATTGCCTGGGCTTAGTCTTGTCTTTTGTAATGGCATTCTCTCGTACAACAAGTTTTGTTGTACATTAGGTGGGCATTTACATGTCAGATTGCAGTGGCGTTCCTAATTGGCTTCCTTCGAAGCG